AATGTTTCTCGGAAGGGTGTTGAAAGTCCGAGTGCCGTTTATTCTGAAGCTCCCTAGATACTTAGATACTTAGCAGTTTTTGCGAAGGAAGGGCGCAGCAAATCACGACTTCTGGTGTTATAGCCATGGAAAAAGTGCGCGTGCCTAAACTCTGAAAGTAAGTAAGAAGGCGCTAATCCGTAAATAAATTTATGGACTAAAACGCGTTTGAGACAATTTCTGCGTGCTTGTAGGCTGGGTCAGCCAAGTGTTGATTTTAACTCCTCAGCCCCGATTGACCGACCTTCAATAATACATGGGGCACGTCTATTTAGCTTATCTAGGTAGGCTTTGTTCCCAGCCCCACAACTGTCTCAGACAGGCAAACAGCAATCGAACAATGGCAAGACTATAGTACTGTAGAGCATTTGGCAAGTTGGCTTAGGGAGAACCTTACGCGCTCGACGCAAAACACCTATTCGAGACGAGATCTTGTTACCAGTATATTCTATGTGGTCCTTCCAAGATAGAGTGTTTTCTAGGAGGACCTCAAGATATTTGAACCTGTTAACCCTTTCTAAACGCGTGTTACTGATTTTTATAGCTAGACCGTCAGCCTATGCGGTCCTCTGATGGGTACCAATAAGCACAATCTTCGTTTTTTCAAGATTAGGTATTAGAAGGAAATTAACATAGAGCCAGCTTAGAACATTAGTTAGGCCACTCGTTAACTGAGCTTGAATTTCACGGACTGACTTGCTTGCAAAATGGATAAGGGTATCGTCAGCATATGGCTCGACACCGCAACCTTGAACCGCCAAAGGTAAGTCATTTATGTAGATGATAAACAGTAAAGGGGCCAAGCACGCTACCCTTGGGGGGGGGGAGGTAGCGTTATTTGTTGTAATCAGTTCTGTTACGCGTTAAACCACGGCTCGTCTCGACTAGTTTTAGTTAACTGCGAGCGGTGAACCTTGTCATCAACTTGTGAATTTGCAAACTGAGACAGTTTACCGTGAGACTAAACAATTATAACACTCAATAATATGAAGAAACCTCTATTTTCAGCCATGGTTTAGTTCTTATTATTTTGTCGCTTGAGTATCACCATCAAACTTTACCGGGAATCTTTGGCCGTCATATCGATGTACAGCGGTAGTTATTCAAACACTGATTTCTGTAAAACTTGATCGCAGTAAATGACGTGAAGATGAAGTACGGACTGTCATCTTCGTGTCATTTATTCTAATCGTACTGATCTTCTTACCTCTGATCAAGTGAATCGCATTGTGAGGTAATGTCTGAGAGATATCTTTGTTC